AAAATTATTATGAATTATCAAAAGAGTTAATTCTCAAAATGATCTTCTGACTATGGCCTTTTCTTAAATTGGTTTCTTTAATTGCACACAAAGTGGTCCTCTGACTATTGAATTTTAAGCCAAAATGGTCCTCTGTTAGTTTTGGTGTTAAGTGAGTATTTAAATGAGTAAAAGTTAATTTTCAAAAAAAAAAAAAATGAGTAAAAGTTAAAACTAGTAATTAAGTTTTTTACTATAGTTAGAGGATTACTTTGGGTGCAATTAAAAGTCAAAGGACCATTCTGAACTATCTTGTTAATATTTTAAAAGAAAATTTCATTTTTATGAACTATCTAGTTAATATAATCTAAAAGTTTCAATTGTGTATTATCGTATTTAAATTAATATAAAATACTTAGAGTTGATCTAATTAAATTAAAAAGTATTTATGAATATCTCTATCTCTATATATAATATAACAGAATCAAGGTGAAAAATTTTTCCTCCATTTGGTGCATTTGAGAGTTATGAAATATCAAGGGTTTAGGAACATCATAATCATCATAAATCTTTATATATATATATATATATATATATATATATATATATATATATATATATATATATATATATATATATATATATATATATATATATATATATATGAAAGAGATTGTTGAGCCTATACAACACAAAGATGCAAGATAAAAAATGCGTACAAATTTATAAATTCATGTAATCATGAATTAAAAAAAATTAATTTCTATGAGTATTATATATCAATTTTGATTTAAATATATATGTACTAACTTTTTAATAGTTTGTAATTTTGATTAGTTTTTTGAGAAAGTAAACTTAATTCATTATATCAGAATGAAGAATGTTTACAAGAAAAGATGGAGGGGAGTCCAGCCACTCCCCGCAACCTGACTCAGAAAAGGCCTCCCTAGAAACACAGTGAGCGGCACGATTCGCAGATCGCTTAACAAAGTAGAATTTAACATCCTCAATTTCAGATGCCAAATCCTTTACATCATCTACCAAATTTCCAAAAGCTGAACCATAAGACACAGAATGAATAGCATTACATACCAGTAGTGAGTCCATCTCCACATCCACACCTCCTAGTCCCGTAGCCTTCAGCCAGCTGAGAGCCTCTCTTACACACAAGGCCTCAGCTTCCTTCACCAAATAAGCTCCTGCTACAAGCACATTCTTAGCCGCCAAGAATCCCCCACTATCATCCCGCAGCACCCAACCCAAACCCATCCGTCCTTCCTCCTGCCGAACCGAAACATCCGTATTTAATTTAAATCTGCCCAACCGCGGCTTCTTCCAGTGGTCAGCGTCCACCGGGCCATTCACACGATGTTCCTGATTCGCACCACGCCACCCCTCCAGAAAGTCTAGGGCACGCTGCACCACCATGGCTGAATTATGCACATAGCCCTTCCAGACACTATCATTCCTGCTTGTCCACAATCCCCAACATACCATTACAAACCCTGGCAAAGTGTCAGCACACAACTTACTAACACACCAAAAAAACCAATCAGAGACATTATCACCTGCATAAGCATTTAGCTGCGGCACACCCAAAAGGTTCCAAACCCGCCTGGCCTCCGCACAGTTAACAAACAGATGGACCGCAGATTCGGCCACCAGCCTACACATATGACAATCAAGTGAACAAGCTACCCTTTTCACAGCCAACGCATCACGTGTGGGAAGAAACTCAGAAGCTAGCTGCCAACAGAAACATTTTACCTTAGGGGGAACATGTAGATTCCATATACGTGACCAAGGCCGATCATCCGAGGCAACCATGGTAATCCGTTTGTAGCATAACTTAACAGAATACATCCCCTTCGGATCCCAATGCCAAGTCCAACGATCAACAGGCCTGCGCCAACTAACCGGAATATTCATTATCAGTCTAGCATCACGGGAATTAAAAATATCATTAACACAATCAGAATCCCACCTTGGTCATTCAACAAAGACGTTACCCGAGCTCCAACGACAGACTGGTGCAACTCTGTTTCCACATATGGGTTGTTGTCATCCGGCAACCAGGGATCCATACCAATTATCGTGTCCGCCCCATTCCCAACGACCCTCCTACACCCCTCCTTCAACACCCCTTGTACCGCCATAATACCCTTCCAAATGTAAGAGGGATTACTACCCTCCGTTGCATCAAAGAAACCACACCTCGGGTAATAACGCGCTTTGTAAACCCGAGCCACCAAAGACTGAGGCCTAGTTACCAAGCGCCAAGCTTGCTTCCCAAGCAATGCTTTATTCATCTCATGCAATTTCCGGTACCCTAAACCACCACAACCCTTCGGCTTACACAACCCTTCCCAAGAGCGCCACCGGATGCCCCGACCCCCTCCTACACTGCCAGTCCACCAATACTGATTCATCAACGTCTCAATCTCACGACACAGCCCCACAGGTAACAAGAAAATCATCATCGCAAAGGTGGGCATTGCCTGAATCACATTCTTCAACAGGACTTCCCTACCCGCTCTGGATAGGAACTTTGCACTCCATGATCTGATCTTAGCAAGTATTCTGTCCTTGATGAACCCCAGAATCTCCTTCTTTCTCCTGCCAACTAGGGATGGTAGCCCCAGATACCTCCCACTCGTAAGCCCCTCCTCCACCCCCAGTACCTCCACCACCTCATTCCGCACATTCTGCTGAACATTCGCACTAAAGCACGCAGTGGACTTATCATAATTAACCCATTGGCCCGAAGCCTTAGAATAAGTATCCAGAACATACCTCATCTGCACACTCTCATCCAAATTTGCCCGATGAAACAAGAAGCAGTCATCAGCAAAAAGAAGATGAGAGATCGCCGGGGCTCCTCTAGCAACTGTGACACCATGCAACACACCCCCCGCCATTCTCTTCTCCAACAATGCACTGAGCCCCTCGGTTACAAACAGAAACAAATAGGGCGAAAGCGGGTCCCCCTGACGAAGTCCCCTCCCCGGCAATATAGGCCCCAACTGCCGGTGCTCATGTAGCACACTATACCGCACAGATGTTACCGACTCCATCATTAAATCAACCCACTGCTTAGCAAAACTCATTTTCAGCATTACAACCTCCAGATACAACCACTCAACCCTATCATAAGCTTTAGACATGTCCAATTTTAGTGCCACGACACCATTCTATCCCTGCGTTTTCCTCTTCAGGTAGTGGTGCACCTCATATGCCAACATTATATTATCCGAGATTAATCTCCCCGGAATAAAAGCACTCTGCGCACTGGAAATCAGGTTATTCAACATAAATTTCAACCTGTTAGCACAAACCTTTGCAAAGAAAGTTAGGTAAAGTAAAATTAAGTAGGGAAAAAATTTTCCCGCCTAAGTGTGAATGCATATTAATAGATTTGTAAGATAATTATTTTTTTTGTGTGTAAACCATGAGGTGGTCCGAGTCTTTCTCTGTCCATTTAACTTTGTAAGATCATTATTGCAAATGAGATTAGCAATATGAATGCATTTTTTTGGTCCTATATTGGTCTTAACATTTAAATATTACAATGTATAACTATACTTACATTTTTAATAAAATTAATTATGCTTTGTATCATAACATTACAACAATACTTATAAATTTTTTTCCGTGCATCGCACGGGGCAAATACTAGTAATATTAATAACGATGATATACAATCTATTCCAACCATTTCATATTTTATTATAAATATTCTTTTACTATGTTTTGAAGGTTTTTTTTTTTTTTTCTTTTTTGCCTCCACTAACCAACATTTTTTGTTCTGCCCCTATAAACCAATATTGTATTTTTGTAATAGTCAATGAATTATTTTTTTTTAATTATCTTTCTTATCCGTTTGTATTTAACTGTTGTCTTTTTTTTTTCTTTTCTCTTTTTAATAAGTAATGATTTATGTCTGTTGTCCATTTGGTTGTAATTTTTCACAATAACTCTGTCATTATATGTATGCCTATTTATGATCATAGAAAATTAAAATTCAAATACACAATGTCAAGCATTCCTGAATAATAAAGAATTAATCTAAAGTTAATGTTACTTTGTACAACTATATATAAGTACTAGGCTAATAATCAAAATTATTATTCTAAGTTATTTTTTTAAAAAATAATTTTCTAGCTAACAATTAAAGTAAAAAGATTGTTTATTTAGAAAATGAAAATAAGTACAAGATCAACCCATTTTAATCAAAATGAGTACAAATCATATTTGAACTATAAAGAGAAAATTACTAAAATGGTCTTCCGACTATGGTCTTTTCTCAAATTGGATTTTTGACTTTTAATTGCACTCAAAGTAGTCCTTTGACTATAGTAAAAACCTTAAATTACCAATTTGACCCCTCATTTTAACATTCACGTACTTAACACCAAAACTAATGGAGGACCATTTTGACTTAAAATTCAATAGTCGAAAGACTACTTTGGGTGCACTTAAAAGTCAAGTAACCAATTTGAAAAAAAGACCATAATCGGAGGACCATTTTAGGAATTAACTCTTATCAAAATATAAAAAAAAGTTACTTGATATATATAAACTTTAATTTAATTTTAACAATTATCCGTTCCGTATAATTTTGTTGTTGTTGTTGTCATTATTGTTATTAGTATTATTCTGAAATAAAGCATTTAAATATTCATTTTAGAGCTCAAGAACAAGAAAAATGAGACTGGATATAATTAAAATCACGACAAGAAAAATAATTTTTAGTGAAAAAAAATTAATGGGGTAAGAAAACTTCTCATTTAATATATTATTTATATAATTTAGGTAAGTGTTAAAAATTATTCTAACTAAAGATTTATAATTTAGTAATTAAATTTTGATCTTATATTTATTTTTAAAATTTTTAAAATATACTCTCACTAGTAGTACGAACGATATTATTACTCGCTATGATGTTAAAAATTATTTTACTAAAACTTAATTTCCACTAAAATTTTATTTTTAGGCACCTCTCTGTAGTCTCTAATTCTCTATCGTGAACCCATTTCAACTTTGCTCTGCCTCACCACCGGAAACCAGTCGCGGAGTCGCTGCCTTCAACCGTCGGCTGTTGCGGAGTCGCCTGTTTGCCAAGTGCCCAACTCCATCTTCAACCGTCGCCTTAGGTTCGTAGTTCGTTTCTCACAATCTCACATTCTCTGATTCTCACTGGTCACCCATCGCCGTTCGGTGCCCGGCGGTCGCACCCCCTTGGCAGTTGGCCCTTTTTATAAATCTTAATTTGTTCAATTGTTTGTCCTAAGTTTTGAGTTTTGAAATCTTATTATGTTTTTGCCCTAATTTCCCTAATTTCACAAGGGTAAAAAGGTTGTAGCTAGCTTGTTAATTGTTATATATGTGTGTAAATGATATAATTTTTACAGTGTTTTTGAGTAGTAGAACTAATGGTGTCAGCTAGCTACCATATATATAGATGTTTGTAAAATTACTAAGTTATTGTGAATGTTGTTTCTAGTTTTTGTGTTTGTGGAGATTGTTAACATAATGATTATCAACATATAGTATTCGATTGTGGAACTTGCAACATTTGTATCCTTTTAGATAGCAGGGACTTTGCTGCCTATTTTTCCTTTTCAATCAAATTGTAGGGTTATATGACAGGTTTGGCTGGTTGCAAGCATTGAAGGGGTGCCCCCTGAGCTTTGAAAATCTGAGAGGGAGTAGGGGGTTAAGAGTGTGATGAGAGGAAAAATGAGGAAGGAAAATTGTGAAGTAACAATATTTTATGCAGGTTGGACTGGTGCTGCAGATGAGGGGGTGATGACAGAGATGTTGGAACCTTCCATAGTCTGTAGCACCATGCAGAATGAAGAGGAGGATGCTGGCTCTTGGTCATCACTTTGCAGAGGCAATACACTGTAGAAATTACAGTGCCCTCTGTTGGAGCAGAAATGGTAATCTGAAGATGCTGGAGCTTTAATTTGATTTGTTTTGTACAGTGAACTGTGTTTTTATGCTATGCCTGTCAGTTTTGAGCTTGAATGCAGTTTCTGTCTGTGCAGTAGGTTGGCATTGTTGGGCTAGCCTCTTAATTGGCTGAACTCTTTTGACTGGGAGGGTGTAGAGGTAGGGGGGATGATGGGTGCATGCTTGCTTGCTTGCTTGATGCTTACTTCCTTGCATTGCATGCACTTTGAGGTGGGAGTATCCATCGATTTGAACCAAAAAAGATATGAAAGAAAACATAAGAAAAAAGAGATATGTTGCCATGTTGGTGGATTGGAGGAAAATATGGAAAAGCAGATTGGTTTATTGTTGTTGTAGTGGTGAGTTGTGAGAAAATGAATAAGGGAGTTATGGTACCATTGCTTAGGGTGTGGGGCATGGATGATTGAGCTTGTTTTTTGCTTGATTGGATTGTGTGCTTGAAAATGGTTTGTGAGTATTGAGAGTTTCCATATTGGACTTGGACAGTAGGCCTTTTGTTTGGCCAGCTGGGGAATGCTTAGTTAGTGCACGGCATAGGTGCATTCATGTGGTAGAGTTAGTGCATAGCATGACCTTGTTCATTTGAAGGTCACTTTTAGGTCTCTTTGTACATAGATAGTTTTTTCAAGGCAATAAAAGTCACAGTTGCTTTAAAAAAAATTGTAGGGTAAAGAAAACAAGGATGTGTTATCGATCTGTTCTTTGATGAATTGAGTTAATTAATGACTGATAAGGGTGTGTAGTCTTCAATCACATGAAGTTTATTAGTTAGTTTGATAAATTAGGTATCAACGACATAAATGAGATAAATGAGATTCGAGGTGGCCCTGAACCAGATTCGTAAAGGCACAAAAACCCTATCAGTTCTTTTCTTTTCTCTTTATTATTTTCTTCTCTCAGCCTCTCTAATATTTGTTTTTATTTTTATTTTTTACCTTATCTATTTTGTCCATATTCGTCTTTGTTCCAGAATGCTGGTGTTGAGAAGTACATAGAGACACACAAAAAGTTGTCTGCTATTGCAGCATGGGAGAACACTAAGAAGGCTTATGTGGAGGCTCAAATGAAGGAAATTGAGGTAATAAAACATGGAAGTTTTAGTATATGTAAGTTAATTTCATTTGTTGAAAAGAAATATGTATATATGTTAACTCTATATTGATATGAAATATATATTTCATTTGGTTTGAGTATTATCGATGTTTTTAGTTTACAGTTACGATTAAATTGTGTTGGAACTATATTTAATTGTCATTAAGTTGTCTCATGACGAGATATATATATATATATATATATATATATATATATATATATATACACACACACACATTCCGGTGAAAACAGGGTTTAAAATACAAATGTGTGGACAATATGAGGCCGTTGGATATTGTATTTGGATGGTCCAGATTCGTTTTAATGTTTTGCGTGTGTGTGTTGTTTTCACGTTAAGTGATGGGTTTTATTTGGCCTAGAAGGGTATTTATGGTTTTTTGGTTGTGGTACTTACCTAGTCAGATTAGTCTTCCTCTTTTTTATTCCACGCGCAGGGATTCCCGGCTTCACCATTGCCTATCTCTCGCTCGTTCTGTGCGGCTTCACGAATCGGGCATCGCGTGTTTTCATCTCTTGTTTTTTCTTTCCACGTATCAATGGCAGAAGGTGGGGACCTGGGCATATCGGAGTGGAGGGGACCACTGGTCGCAGGTGTCGGCCGAGGTACGTGCTATCGTCGTTCTTTTTTTTTTTTTGTAGTTTTCCGTGTGTTTTTGTTGTATTTGGGTGGGGGTTTCTGCTTTCTACGCGTATTGTGTGTGTTGTTTGGTTGTGTTGTGGGGTTTTGCAATGTTTATGTGGGATTTTGGATTTAGGGTTTCATATTTTGGGGGTTTTCTAATCATGTTTTTGATCATTTAATTGGTTGCTGTTTTTGGTTATTACTCACTTATTACGAATGGGAATGGGGTTTGGGTTGTGTTGTTTGGCTGCATTTTTACCCGGATTTTTTTTTTTTTTTGGTTTTTTTATGGCGTTCTGCCGTGGTTGTGGGGTGCTGGGGTTTGGGTGGGTTTAGCAGGTGTGTGTTGGGTGGTGGCTGTGTAGACGGTGGACTTGGGTAGAGGGGTTAGTTGTGTTCATCTATTCTTTGGTTGTGTGTGTGTGTGTGTGTGTGTTTTTTTTTTTTTTTTTTTTTTTTTTTTTTTTTTTTTTTTTTTTTTTTTTTTTTATGTCCGTTTTCTGCCGTATGGGTATGAGGTTGGGTGTAAGAGGTTTAGGTATATGGTATGGCATTCTTATGATTTTAGTATTTTTTTTTAATTCAGATTTGTATTTAAAATTTTGGTGATTTATTTCTGCTTTATTCATGTGCTTAAGTCCGAGTTAATATATGCTATATGCAACTGTTCAAAATTAGTTTAACTTGGCTTTTCCTTTCAAAGTGTTGAATAAATGATTATGAAAATTTAAGTTTTAGCTGGTAGGTAATTGTTATGGTTGGTCTGATTCTGGATAGGTGATATGTTGGTGGGGGGGGGGGGGGGGTGTTGTTATTCTGTGTGTTTGGCAGTGCCACTGTGTTAGATGTTTATAATTTTGAGGGATTCTACTGAGTCAAATAGGAAATAAAAATGTGGATGGTATATGTGTGCGTTCGTTGTGGCAGTACTGTGCTCGGGTTGGGTTTGTTATGTTTGAATGTCTGGCTCGTTAGCTCTACTTGTGTGTGCGGAAGGGGTTGGTGTATGTGGTGGTACCAATATATGTGTTTTTGGTTATCTTATTGGTAACCATTTTTGCATTGGGGCCAGGTGTGTGTTTGGGTTTTTGTTGTTTGTTGCAAAGCCCGTTTTTTTGGTACGGTGTTGTTATTTATTTTTGTTCGTTTTGTGGGGTTTTGTTGTGGTGCATAGGTGTTAATCTTTGTGTTCTTTTGTTTTCTAGGTAAGAAAACAAGGGTGTTGCGGTGTGCTCCTGGTGGGGATCAAAGTTGTGTTAGTGACGATGACTTCGTTTCACCACCGTTGGCGTTCTTGTCGAGGTTGCAACAAGACCCGGTGTGGCAGGCTGTTGATGATGTCTGTGTGGGTGGTTCATCTTTTGATGGCGATTCTAGTGGTGCGGTGTGTTCTGAGTAGGAATCTGATTTGCCTGCTGTTAAGATTCGGGCACAGGCTAGTGTGCTTGTTGATGCGCTAGTGGACCTGTCAACGCGGCAGAAGGATGCTATTAGGAGTTTGGGGTTTGGGTCTTTGTTGGATTTCCAAGTCACCGAGTGCCCTCCCCGTTTGTTGCATTGGCTATTAACTAAGTTTGATGGTCGGTTGAGGACGTTTGACTTGGGTGGTAGAAGGTCCTTGCCTGTTTTTGAACGTGATGTTGAGTTGGTATTGGGTTTTCCACGTGGCCAGACTGAGATGGTGAAGCGGGATAGGGTGCATATTAGTAACCTGTTAAAACATTGGAGGGGGTTGTTTGGGCGGGTGAGACATACGGTTACTGCGTCCCTGATTGCAGACGAGGTTAGGGCCGAGGTTGATGGGGGCGACTGGTTCAAGAGACACTTCGCTATGTTGGTGGTCTCCACGTTGGTGTCGTGTATGACCAACAGGTATGCCAATCAGATGTATTTTGATTGTTTTGATGATGTCTTGCGCATCCATGAGTTAAATTGGTGCAAGCTTCTTTTGGATTCGTTGGTGGAAACTCATGATGCCTGGAAATCTGGTCGCCATCGATGCTTTGTTGGGCCTGCAGAGTTTGTCGCGGTATGCTCATTTGGTTTCTTTTGTTATCATTGTATTATTATTGTATTATTTGATTGTATTTGTGTCTTAGCTTGGTGTTTTCTGTTTCAGTTGTTTTATGTTGACCGCGTTGTGCCTTTTGAGCGTTCTGTGCCACGGTTGGTGCCTTCACTTGTGGGGTGGACAACTGAGTTGCTTTCTGCTCGTGAGCCTGCAGAGATTAGTGCGGGTGGCTTTGGGAGGGGGGTTGTTGAGCCTCCTATTCTTGGTGTTAATGTTGATGGTGATGGTGCTCAGTATGGTCCTAAGGTAATATTTGTGTTTATTTATTGTTAATGGTTTTGTACGTGTTAGTATTTGTCATGCTCACACACTTTGATTAGCTGCACATTTCTCCTAGTGGGTGTACAGGGTTTGTGTCAGTACGCACGCGCTTCTTTGTAATGGTGCACGCGAGTCTGATTCTCCTTTTAAAAATAGTGTTTGCACACAGCTTGATTTCTAATGTATTTTTTGTTTTCTGTGGTTGTTTAGACGTTTGAATGTGTGGTCGGTGAGGAGTTTGCTCTTCTATCTAGTTCTGTTGTTACTTTGTCTGAGCTCGTTAGGATGGTACGTGGTCGGAATGTGGGGTTTGAGCTTTGTCAACGAATGTATGCAACTATTCAGCCCAAGTTGCGTGATTTAGAGCAGGATTTGCGGACAATTTCTGAGCCTGATTGCTTGGATGATAATCCGTCTTTCAGCCTTGGATTAACCCAACTTTTTGGGAAGGATGGTTTGCATGGTAGGTACTCGGATACGATTGCGGCCGTTGTTACCAGCATAAATTCCGAGCATGCCACATCTTCAGAGCGTGGTCGGGTTTCTATTATGGATGCGGTAAGTGTGTAAATTTTTTTGTGGGGTGGTGTGTGCTCCCATGGGCTTAGTATGTGCACTGCAGCTTCTCGAGATGTTTGTATTTAGTATTTTCCAAGCTGTGGTATGGGGGATAATAATGTTATTTTTTGGTTTGTTGTAGGAGTTTGCTAATGAGCCCCCTCAAGACTGTGGTGTTGGAGGTTCGGTAATTGCGGCTGGGGTGGTGGATGATTCTAATAAAGGCAATGCATCTGCTGTTGAGATTGGTGGGTCAGGTTCGGGTGTTTGCCCTACCTCGGTGGGACTTGTATTTTCTACCCCGGTTAAGGTTTGTTACTTTGCTTTTATGTTTATAACTGTGTGGTGAATATATTGTAGATTAGGGGTGGTTCAGTGGATATGTGCATGCCATTTCGTTTTTCTACGTGTGTGCTATCATTAGTCTTTAACTGTGCCTTGTAGTTTTGTTGCTATGTAATTGGGTAGATATATTTCTCATGGTGTGCTTGTATGGCTGTTGGGCGGTTGTTGTGTTACTGTACTAGTGTTATATTTGGTGAGTGTTTAAACTTTATTCTCGAATGGTGTGCTCTCCCGTGGGTTTAGCTTGTGCACGACAGCTTCTCCAGATGCTTGTATTCAGTATTTTCTGACCTGTTGTTTGAGCCTAATAATGTTGGTTTTTGGTTTGTTGTAGGAGTTTGTTAATGAGCCCCTTTAAGATTGTGGCGTGGGAGATTCGGGAGTTGTGCCTGGGGTGGTGGATGATGCTAATAAAGGCAATTGCTCTGCTGTTGAGGTTGGTGGTTCAGGTTTGGGTGTTTGCCCTACTTCAGCAGGCCTTGCATTTTCTACCCCGGTTGAGGTTCGGTTGTTTGCCTTTATGTTCGTAACTGTGTGGGTGATATATGTGGAATCTGGTGTGTGCTTGTGGGTCATTTAACGTGTGTTTTGTCTTTTATGAGACAATTAATTATTCTATGGTCTGGGGTGTGTGCTGTCATGTGTGTGTTCACGTGCATGGTAGCGGTGGGTTCATTGATCCCCTGCGTTGTTTGTTTGTTGGCAGGAGTTTTTAAATGTTGGTGTGGTTCGTGAGGCAGCACTTTCCGAGGGCCCGGGTTGTGCGGTCCCGGTTCATCAACGCAGTAACCGTATGTCTCACCCGCCCAAACAACCCCCTCCAATGTTTTAACAGGTTACTAATATGCACCCTATCCCGCTTCACCATCTCAGTCTGGCCACGTGGAAAACCCAATACCAACTCAACATCACGTTCAAAAACAGGCAAGGACCTTCCACCACCCAAGTCAAACGTCCTCGACCGACCATCAAACTTAGTTAATATCCAATGCAACAAACGGGGAGGGCACTCGGTGACTTGGAAATCCAACAAAGACCCAAACCCCAAACTCCTAATAGCATCCTTCTGCCGCGTTGACAGGTCCACTAGCGCATCAACAAGCACACTAGCCTGTGCCCGAATCTTAACAGCAGGCAAATCGGAATTAGATTGGACAGATTGGAGTTTTTTGCTTTGGGGCTGCTTTTGTCTAAACTAAACATGTTGTAATCTCACCTTTCAAAATAGTCAATAGATACATTACTTTAGCTATTTATTATAGTTAGTTTCTTTGCCTTAGTCTTTACAAAGTTGTATGAAACATTTCATTTTGGTAGTGATGATGAAGTCTTTTAATATATTGATCGAATTTTCTTTGATTGCATTATGGTAAAAATTTAAATTTTTACCAATACAATATCTATAGTTACAATAGTATAATATCGATTAGTGAGAAAAAAATGTATTACAAAAGTTAATATTTAATGAGAAGTAACAATATATACAAAATTAGTAAAATAATATTTGATATTAAATTATAATTTTTAGTGATGGGCAAAATCTAATATAATGAGGAAAATTTTTGTTAGTAAATAGTAATATTATTGACGTGATTTTTTTATCATTACAAGAATATAATTTGAGGAAATTATGTTAGTGAGTAATTGTATTAGCGACGAGATTTTTAGTCACAAAAAGAACGTTTTAGTGAGAGTAAATATACTATCACTATATGCTTATTAATGATGATATCATACCCCGTCACTATTTGTTTTTATCATCGAAAGAAATGACGACGAAAGAAATAACGACGGGTGGTGATAGTAAATTTCCAGTCATTAAAAGTCTTTTATGATGATTTTTTTTTTAATTTTTTAGTGACGATTTTACTTCTCACTAATGAACAATTTTCTTGTAGTGAATTGTCAAATTCTAAAGAAGACTTCAGTTAGAAAATTATATAGACATTGTCAATTCATTCTAAACTTACAGGTAATTGTTTTCTTTGTTCATTTATTATAATTTTTCATCGCATATTTCCTTCCATATCTTTTTGAAATAATTAAAGTTTTTCTATATTTGTGTTCATCCCATATACATTGAGCAACAAATTTTAAATACCATAATTCACCTCCTTTTCAAACTAGTTTTAGATCTTCATGTTTTTTTTTTTTTTTTAAATTTCCTGTTTTTTTTTTTTTTTTTTTTTTTTGCCTTTCCATAATTATATATATATATATATATATATATATATATATATATATATATATATATATATATATATATATATATAACATAAAGTCCCTTACTTCAATCTAAAATTGATTATAAAATTGGATGATAATTTACTTTGACTTCAACGGGGACCAAAATTCGAGAAACGAGAATAGATGGTATATATTCTCTATTGGGGACAAAGATACTCATCTCTACACAACACCATCCTTGATTTATATGTATGTGTGTGTATAATATTTGTATATGAATACATGATGTGTTGACGTTTTATAATTGTGGATTTGTGTTCCTATTTACATAAACACAATTTTCATTTTGTATTTGGCCTTTCCGTTGTCATTGAGGATTCGAAGAAAATTTATTTATTTATTTATTTTTTACTTTTTTTTTTATATATAATTGTACTAGTTTGGTTAAGGCTGACAGAGTACGGAGATTCTCCATTCCCAAAAATTCTCCATGGGGGCATGGATGGGGAAAATTTTCCAATCGTGATGGAAATGAGGTTGGGAAATAGGATATGGAGTTTTAGGGATGGAAATTAGAAGGATACTCCCAGTTTCTACACCATAATGTTGACCTCTATATTTAAAAATGAATATTTCTTTGCTTTCGGAATGAAATTAGTTTTTTATTTTTTTTTTTATTTTAGTGTACTTAGACTTGAGGTTATGTTTCAAAGATCATTAATGTTTTTAATTTTTTGAAATAGGAATTAGATTGTCCTTCATATGGAGAATCTAACTTGAACAAATTGTAAATATGAAAATTTCATTAAATTCTAAAAGATAGAATCCTAACCTCTATCATTATTCTTAAACCGAAATTGACAAAAAAATTGACAATCATATTTCCCTATTTTTATTGTTTTAGAAGTCCTAATAGGAAAAGAAGTGAATGTTACAAATTTCGCTGAACTATTGAGTCATCGTGATTTATTTCTCCCAAATGCTCTGTCAGACCAGAATGTGGGGAGCCCTTTGAGTTGGGGATTCAACCTTTTAGGAGAAGTGAATGTTACAAATTTGAAACTTCAATTAGTCCTTCTAATAAGAAAAGATGTGAATGTAATAAATTTAAAACTTCAATTCAATTGCATTAGTGTTATGTACGAAAATGAAAACTTTTGTGAAATTTTAAGATTTAGTAAATTAGTAATTCCAATTCATTTGTGAATTTCATAAAGATTTCGATAAAATTGAAGGACTGAAGTTAGGAAGTTTCGTTTTCGAATCCATTCAAAGAAGGAAATACTTGAGATATTATTCAAACCGTTGAGGTATTTCTAAATTTTCATAGATATTGTTTTTTATTATTATTTTTTGTTTCAAATTTACTTGTATATTAATTATATTATATTTAGAGAGTGGGTTGAAATTGTAAAAATCTAGAGAAAATAATATTGAATTGCAAATGTGATGATATAGCACTAGGGTCCACTTCAAAAAGTGGGAGAGTATTTTAAGGATGCGGATAATGTAATGTAAACAAAAATGTATCAACTTTCAATTATGCATGTATAAGATTCAAACTCTCACTTTTAATTTTTGACTATAGTATGTAGCATTTACAATTTTTCCAATAATGCATCCAACGTTTAAAATAGCTTTGATTTATATTTTTTCCAATAATGCATATGCAACATTTAAAATAGCATCGCAAAGATATGAAGGTTCACACACAACCAAGTAATAGGTTCAAATTATTTTAATTTTGGGTTCATTTAAAAATTTAAAAAATGATTTCCGGAAATTATTTTGTAGATTTTCTAATATTTAGTTACCCAACAGAATATAAATTCAACGAACAAAAAATACATTTTGTGAACAAAGGAAAAAATTTATATTTTGGCACAAAATATCTTTATAGATTTTTTAATCTAAATATGTTTCTCACACATCTCTCATGTTTGGCTCTCTTTTTTCCCGGTATTTTAGGCTTGACTCTCTTTTTCCTCCTCGTACACGTTTCGCCCAGTCTCCCTTTCTCTTTCACATTCAACTCTCTCTCTCTCTCTCTCTCTCTCTCTTATGTTTCTCTTTATCCCTCTCTTAAGCACAACTCTCCCATACTCCAATCTTCTCAATCACCACAGCTATCGCCTCACTCTTCATTGGAGTCAATTAAGTTCAAGTACGTACATATATATCATCTATTTTCTTTAGTTTCATTTATATATTCAAATCTAATTTTTTTTGGAATATGTATTTATTTGTTTGATTTTCTACCTTCGATTCTTCATTAGTTTTGAATATTTTAAAAGTTTCTAGCATTTGATTCTATATGCACAAATGGAAGAAATTGGATTTCTTCAGCTCAGGTTAGAGTTACAAAATCAAACTCCTGAACAACACTCTGTATACATTTATATCATAATAATTTAGTCCTCGTATGCACAAAAATATAGTATTACAACAAAACACATTATAACCTATGACATTCTAATTTAAAGTAAGTAAAATATAAAAATAAAAGAAAAGAAAAAAACTAGTGCTACTTCTACCACAATGTCTAGGCTAAAAATATATATTATTGTTTTATTTAAATAGTAATAGTTGTTATATATTGTTGTTTCTATTATTATTTAACAGCTAGCTTAGAAAGTACTAATTAAAAAGTCAAAATTATTATTATGAATAATCAAAATTAAAGAGTTACTTGATATATATAAACTTTAATTTAATTTTAACAATTACTCCGTAGAATTTTGCTGTTGTTGTCATTATTGTTATTAGTATTATTCTTAAATAAAGTATTTAAATAGCCATTTTAGAGCTCAAGAACAAGAGAAATGAGACTGAATATATTTAAAACTGTCAAATTCTAAAGAAGATTAGAAAATTATATATACATTGTTAATTCCAATTCATTCTAAACTTACAGGTAATTTTTTTCTTTGTCCATTTATTTTAATTTTTCATCGCATATTTCCTTCCATATCTTTATGAAATAATTAAAGTTTTTCTATAATTGTGTTGGTCCCCTGGCCTACACATTGAGCAACAAATTTAAATACCATACTTCACCTCCTTATCAAATTAGTTTTAGATCTTCATGTTTCTTTTCCATTTGATCTTAAAAATTATTTTTCTTTTTCTATTTTGTTTTCCTTTTCAATAAAATTAAAAAATATATATATAAATTAAGATCCTTTAATCTAAAATTGATTGTATAATAGGGATGACAATTTACTTCGACTTCAACGGGGACCAAAATTCCGGGAACGAGAATAGATTGTATATATTTCCTATTGGGGACACTCATCTCTACCCCGCACCATCCTTGACTTATATGTATGTGTGTGTAATTTGTATTTGGATATATGATGTGTTGACGTTTTATAATTGTGAATTTGTATTCTTATTTACATGAACACTATTTGCATTTTGTGTTTGGCCTTTCCATTGTCATTGCGAATATCATTAAAGTTTTTAATTTGTTGAAATAAGAATTACATTGCCCTTTATATGGTAATATGGAGAATCGAACTTGAACAAATTCTAAGTATAAAAATTTCATTAAATTCTAAAAGTTAGAACCTAACCTCTGTCATTATTTTTAAACCTAAATTGACAAAAAAAAAAAAAAAAAAAAAAAAAAAAAAAAAAAAAAAACGACAATCAAATTGCCATATTTTTTATTGTCTTATTAGAAGCCCTAATAGGAAAAGATGTGAATGTTACAAATTTGAAACTTCAATTCATACTTCTAATAGGAACGTTACAAACTTCAATTTGTTGATGTACTTTCTAATTTTTCATAGATTTTTTTTTTTTTTTTTTTTTGGTTTCAAATTTACTTCTATATTATATTCTATTATATTTAGATTTAGATATTTAGATTGTGAGTTGAAATTGTAAAAATGTTGAGAAAATAATATTGAATTGCAAATGTGATAAGGTAATATAAACAAAAGTGTATCAACTTTTAATTATGCGTGTACAAGATTCAAACTGTCACTTTTAATTTTTTTACTAATGTAGCGTTTACAATTTTTCCAATAATGCATCCACTGTTTAAAATAGCTTTGATTTATAATTTTTCCAATAATGCATATGCAACGTTTAGAATAGCATCAAAGATATGAATTGCCCACACAACCAAGTAAT